GGGGGGGGGGGGGGGGTGAAATAGCGCCGGCCGTTCTCAGATAGGCCGCGAGTAGAAACGCGGATGGATGGATGGATGATACGTGCGCTCTCCGCTGACTCGGAGACGCAGGATCCGAGCGCGGATTAGAGGCGAACTTAGAGAAATATAACGAGCGGTGAGGGGGGGGGGGTCCCCCGACGTGTCCCGACTGCGTCAGGACTGTCCACGTAGGGGGATCCACGGCGGATAATCGGGATTCTATAAACATTTGCGTTGGTTTCCGCAAACAAACGATAGTGGAATGACTAGGGCGATAGGGAAAAACGGACTCGCCGGCGAGATCGCGCGGGAACAAAGAATGCAGTGATTACTCCAGTCGACCAACGAGTTCGCGCCACGAGGCTACACTCTGCGAATACAGACGCCCGTGCCTGTTGCAAACGGATATACGCGTCAGGAAATTCCGGGGGATTGGAAAAAAAAAAGAAACAGCAGCGCGATCTCTCAAAGCGCGCGCGTTCGATATGCGTTTCTCAGTGATCGGGAGCGTCGAATGGCCCCGTTGATTTCCGTCGACGAATGCTTCCTCCCGCGAGACGCCGATTTGTCCCTCCCGGAGGAGATCGGTTAGCGAAAACGTGGCCGAGTCGCCGCCCGGGCGCAATTTTTCCGAACGAGAATCCGCGGGAACGCCGGCTTCTCGCGCGACATTATCGCACCTCCCGGCGCAAAGTCTGACAAATTACCGCGCGTACGCCACATCGCCGGTTGCATTTATCAGCTTAATTAGCTGGATGTTTTCTCAGCTGGCGTGTAAACGCGCCTTGGGAATAACGCGATATCTCTCGGATATTTCGTTGATCCATTCGTCATCATCGCGCGTGTGCGCGCAGCGCGATAAATTCCCCGATGCACTCTCGATAACTTGCAAACCTCTACACGACGTCCATCGACATCCGCGCGCGAATCAATGTTACACCTTGATGCGATACGCGACGATTTACGGGTGTACGCGCGTCGGTTTCGCGCGAATCGCTGAATCCGTTCCACGAAGTCGAGCGAGTCTGAATAGATTCGCTGTCGGGATCGTGAGAGCGAGACCGACGAAAGATTAACAGCGAAGTGTCGCGCCGAGATAACAGATTGAGGATGAAATAACGCCACTTTTAATCCCCTTCTCTCCCCTCTGGTAAACTTCCACAAATATCCCACGGTATTTATATATGTATATATATATATATATATATATATATATATACATATATAAATACCGTGGGATATTTGTGGAAGTTTACCAGAGGGGAGAGAAGGGGATTAAAAGTGGCGTTATTTCATCCTCAATCTGTTATCTCGGCGCGACACTTCGCTGTTAATCTTTCGTCGGTCTCGCTCTCACNATATATATATATATATATATATATATATATATATATATATTCCTCTACATCGGTATCGCGCGGGATCAATACGGCGACGATATTGATTACGACGCGAATAGAGAGAAAGCCTCGGCTAAATAAAAACATCAATATCTTTTATAGATGTCCACGTACACCCGCCTGTCTCTCCCGTCGTTGCCATCCCACATAAACAGCTCTTTGCTTCTCTAATCTAATCCCGGCCGATCTAAATCATCGGCGATTGAACGAGTAAATAACATCACGAGGCGGCAGCGGCGGCAGGGAGGGGAGAGGGGATGGGTAGGGGTAGGCGACACGTGACGTAAGGTCAATCTGTCAGAATCTCTCGCGCGCCCGCGTGCGGATCGCGCCCTGACATTTATGAATATCGATGCGTGACGGTACAACGGCGGCGGGATTTCGCCATAGAGCCGGTGGTTCTTCTGCGGTCTCCCCGATCCCAGGCGGATCTCACGACGCACGCCGGGACGAATAAATCATCGGGAGGCCGCGCGATCGTACGCGCATCTGCATTCCTCGGGAGCCTCGCGTGCATTAAGGTCGTCCCGATCGCTGCCGGGGTGCGAATATGCGATGCAACAAACGCGCTCCACCTCGCCGCGCTCATTTTTTCGCCGCCTGCGGGCCTGGAACGAATTGGGACGCGATAATCGCGGCTGACCGTTTGTTGCAACGGCGCGAAAGGGGGGAGAGAGAGAGAGAGATCCGGCCGAATTGTCGGTTAATCCGAGACCGTTTTTACGGGCGGAACCGGGATGAATGGGATCGCCTCGGAGAGAGAGAGAGAGAGAGAGAGAGAGAGATCTCAAGGCTCGCGTATCAGTCTTTTCTTCGCGGATAAGCGCGAGAAACGAGCGCTTTCTCACGTCTTCCGCGTGGAGGACTGGTTCACGCGTGTCTGTCGTGGTAAAAGGGTTTGTTGCACGAAACAATGTCCCTTCTTTTTTGCGGTAAGGGAGATACCTCGGTGCCTTTGATATCATGTCGAGAGCGCGTTCGATCGGATAGCCGCGAGGGAATCGAAAAGACTAGCAAAGGCAAACGTTAATTGGCGAGACAGAAGCGTCGTTGTTGATTCGAGGGCTTCCGGTCGCATAATTAATTACGGCTCGTCGAGAAGGGTGGCAACACCGGGAGAGGTACAGGGCTTCTTCGGGGATCCCGTCCGACGTGCCCGATTTTTGCTTGATCTCAAGGTGAGCCGGTAATTACTCGATCCAATGGCACCGCAAGAAGTACCGACTGCTTGTGACCGACGCGCTAATCCGGCCAGCTTGGATTTCATTAAAAATAATTAATAGACGAACACATTTTTTTCTTCGGCAACTTTTCAGCGAGAAATGAATAACAGATAAAGATATTACTTAGAAATGGATTAGTTAGGAAAAAAATTAGACACAAAATTCGTTAGAAATTAGGAATGATTCTTTTATGATCCGGCCGTTGTCCAGCAGGTATCAAATGTGATAGAGCAGATGGCGCCGTTTATTCTAAAACATATAATCTGGCCGCTGTATGCGCCGGTGGCATTGAAAAATGAGGTAGCGAATGAAAATTTCAGGCTTATTCCATAAAGATCTGGGAAAAGGCAGAGGCGTTACGTTGCTGTCCGGCAATTAATTACGATTTTTCGCCTCGTAATTATAATTTATTCCGTTTAACCATCAGATAACTGATTTATCTAGCCGTCATCCAGCCGCTGGGAGAAGCGAGCGTTTACATTACTGGCAAGTAGCGACGTTGGACAGTACAAATTTACTACCTCGTGGCTGGGCGCTCACGACGTTCTGCCAGGGTAGTTTCGTTACAAATACACTCCGAGCCAGACTCCGCGTCTGTCGTCGATTAATCCTCGCTACATATCGAGGTTCTTCTTCGTATCGTTAGACACGCTGTCAAAGGATAGACGGTTCTCCGTCGCGCGATGAAGAGAGAAACTCGGCTGAAGTCGAAGAGCATCGAGGCGAGAGGAGCTCGCCGCCATTGTCTCGCGGATGTATGCGCGGATAATTGCACGCGACGGCGGAAGACATCGATTAGCGCGCTGAGATGAATTTATCGTTATAGTACGAGCATTTCGCGCATTTAATTCATCACGATTAGAAACCGCGGCGCGCCATTGCCGCGCCTCCTCGTGCCAGTTGTTAGTTTAATGGCCGTGCGCTTTAATCGTCGCGGTGCGATTCGTGTTAACGGACGAATGAAAATGATCTCGCCGCTCTTTCCGGACCGACTAAATAAGCCGTCGGTGAGTTAATTGGCGGACATTACGACGAACGCGTGAGCTACGAGCTGGATGCCGCTCCGTGGGGATCGCCGAGGCGATCGTCGCCGTCGTCGTCCCCTCGAAACAGATGATCGATCTTAATCGCGCCATCGATAAACCGCGCGGTTTATCTCGCGCGATTAATTGCAGCGTGGCCTGCCCGCTCGCGGAAAATGTTCAAGGCCGTTCGTTGTGCGCGGTATAACGGCTCGAGCATGCAAATGTCAAAGAAATGGACGAAGACGAAGAGCTTGCTACTCTCTCTCTCTCTCTCTCTCTCCTTGTATCGGCCGGCGGCCTCTCCATCTCTTTCTTTCTCTACCTCTCTTCTTCCTCCTCCTGCTCACCCTCTTACTAGTTATTTCGCTCTTTTTCCACCGACCCGGCGCCATTAGTCAGGCTTTCTCGTCGACCTCGGTAAAGTGCGTGTTACCCGAGATGCCATCGCTTCGCGTCCCAATTAGACAGCCGATAATCGGTTCCGGCTCGACCCGGCCTGACCCACGAAAAGGCACGCGGAGATAAAAATTTGGTCGTCTGCATTGCAGGAGAGCGAGGATCGCGCGCGGCCAAGATGGAGCGGCGGTGGTTCGTATACACGGTGACGCTGCAGATCCTCGCTGTCGTCGCTGGGGCCGTCGAGGATTTTCGACACATCTCCTACGAGGGTGAGTGTTTTGCAACGAATTCTATCGGGTGAAATTCACGATGTTGCCAGGAAACTCTAACACCTTTCGAGATCGATTCTCACGCGCTGAAAGGAAAAAAGAGTTCAGCTACATTCAAGTAAATATTTGCTAAGGAGTAATGAAACGGTTATTTTATTTGGATTAAATTAATGTTACCTGAATGTAGCACGCTGAAAGAAAGAAAAATGTTATATTCAAGTCATACTTTTTTTTTTTTTTTTTTTTACCTGAACTATAACACTTTTTTCCAGTATACGCGTTTATCGGACATTTGCGGCAGAAGAACGCCGCTTACCGGCGCGACGTTTACCGCGCGAAACCAGGCGTGGTCGATCCGTTATCGCTGAATAATTTTTCGCACCTTCTAATCACGCCTGCGGCGGATACTCTTATTTCACGATTCGCGCGGCTCGATCGATTAGCGCGGATGCAAAATGACGCGGAGCCGTTCGTCGCGCGGCGGCTGATCGGCCTTACGCGCGAACCATCATTCGTAGGAATCACGATCGAATCGGCGGACGCGCGCCGTTCCGGATGCGATAAAGCCGCTGTACGAGGCGCGATCCCGTTAATTGCTTTATCACGATTAATCCGTGTAACCGCCGAGCGATTACGACGCGCGCGCCCGATAATCCGCGCGCGTTATCGATAAGACGCGCACGCGCACGTCGTCACGAGGACGGTTGTTCACGCGGCGATTCCGCCGGGCCTTTTCACCGCTCGCGAGCGGAACAGGACCGACGAGTTTCTAGACGTGATTATCTCAGAAATGGGAGCACTCCCACGGAACGGACAGAAATACACTTCGTTCATCGGCGTTGTCGCGCCAGGTGCGTTATCGGCGCGGTTGGAAAAACGCGCGCGGCCATTCTCGGCCCGGGAGATCCGCATCAGAGTCGATCAACGTGCGTGCGTGCGTGTGCCTCCGCACGTAGGTGTGCACAAGTCGAGAGCTCCGTCTCGCAGGAAACGTTTGTACTTGAATTCGGAAGGATATCTCGATCGGCCGGGAACGGATTCTCGCGATTATCATCGCCATGATTTGATAACGTTAGCTACTTCGACGAACTCGGGACCGAAACTCGTTTATCGTTCGGGGGGAATTTCAACAGCAGGCTCTCGATAATTTACCTTTAAGTATTCCACGTTGGCTTATTTCCGCGAAATTACCGTTGAGACCAAGTTCGCCGGCGAGCAGGCGGAAAACAAAGCTTCGCTTCGCATTCTTCCGCTCTTCCGCAGGACTGCGCCATTAATATCCCGGGGGTAACAATCCGTGATATTAAATAACTTCGTAATTATGCTCTATCCCGTTAGAATCGAAGGGAAAAGTCGGAGAGCGTAATTAATGAGAGGACGTTAAAGAAGGACGTTCTACGAACGTCGATTTCACGCGGATTGAAATATCCGCGTGAAATCGGTGCGTGGTCGTTAGAAGTAGGTGAATTTTCCCGAGAGTGACCGCGCCTCCCCTGCGATTTTCTCGCCGGATGACGCGCATAAATCCGAGCTGCGGACGGACGGGCGAATCGGCTCTCGGTCGGGACGTTTATGCAAATTTAATTTCGCCCATAACCGCTTTTCTACGACGTCGACGTGTCGGAGATAGGCATGGCTAATCGATAAAGAAAATATATCCCCGTCGTGAGCACGGTGATTCGCCTATATGTGTGTGTGTGTCGCGCTCGGTCCACGGCGTCGTGCCAGCCCATTAACATCTGGCAAAAATGTCGGACATTCAGGGCACTTATCACAAGCAATGACCCACAATGTACAGTTACACGTAGGCGAGCTCGATTATCGCACACTCTAGCCGCGGTCCCGGAGAGAAAACGCAGATCGTGTTGGAGATGTGGGACGGTGCGGTGGTGCGCGCCTATATGGAGAACAGACGCCACGCCCGTCAAACGGAAACCACATGGAAAAGCTTGTATCGGCCGGACTCGGATCTTTAATGAGCCTAATGGATCGTTTCTAGCTCCCGATGCGTTAGAGAGCCCCCCTTTCTCGTTCGTTTTTTTTTCCTCCTCTTCGCGAGCGCAGGTGTCGGAGAATCGCGGGAGAGAAGACGCGTCCGTCGTTCGTTCGCGGCCCACAGCTAGCTGTGATTTGCATTTGCACGTAGAGCACTCGCCGCGGGCCGTTCGACGATGATTTCAGAGGCCCCGCGGCCTCGGATCCTGCGACAGTCTCGTCTCGCGGCTATAATCGTGCGGTCCGTATTAAGCCGGATCACGATTTCGTTACGGATTACCGCGCTTCTCGCGCGACGCCGCACAACGGGACCGAAGTTCTGTTCGAGTGGACAATTGCTCAAAAATGAAAGTTACCGCTAGGGCTTTCGCTTATTTCAGCCTTACGTAGAAGTGTCCGAAGTACATGGAAACAGATCGGATCCTGTGAATCATCGTCGGAATAATGATGAAACCAGGCTCGGAGCTCGAGATCCCAACAAACCTCGAGACGGTTTCATGAATCTTAGTGGTGATACGTTGGTATTTTAATGTTAAAGAACGTTAAAAACAAGCGAAATTCTTTCCAGTTTTCTTCAACATTTTTTCTGCGAAGTACGAGTAGTAACGATTTACACCTGCATCGTCTTGCCGGTACAGTTGAAATGCCGGATGTTTTTCCGCAAGTAAATGAAACTGCAAGTTAAGTTTATTATTGCACTTCTCTCTCTCTCTCTCTCTCTCGCGTGGAAACGTACGGTATTGCCGATAGCCACGGAATGTCGTTACGATAATTCGTGATCCTGTGGCAAATCTTTCCGCCCGTTAGAGAAAGAAAGAGAGAGAGAGAGAGAGAGAGAGAGAGAGAATACGATCCCCGACAAAACAACGGACGCGGTACATATGCGCACTGATAATACGTAACGCGAGATATTTCTCTTTCCGCGAATTCACGATTACTTTCCATGCAGCCTGCATTCCTGAGACTTTAAATCTCGGCGCTACGTCCGACATCGATATATCTATTAACGCGGGTTGTTGCATTAGCGAAACGCATTAGTGAAATTAGAAAGTCAGCTTTTAAATATTAATTGAACTCGGGTGGCCGTCGATTACGTGAAGTGTGTGCCCCCTTCTTCGATAAAACAGATGCGGGAACTGTGAGGTAAAAATGTTGAAACGTCAAAATAATTAATCATTTTCAGGCCGCAGCTAAAAAGAAACACTTAGGAAATGTTATTGATAATAATCCCGGTCTTATCAAACGCAAACACTACCAGGATATTATTCATCCTCGCCCTCCTTCTCTCTCTCTCTCTCTCTCTCTCTCTTTCTCGCTGTTATGAAATTCAATTGCTCTGACGCATACACTTTTCAAAGCAAATGATTCGATTGTCGAGAGTTTTAAGTCTTGGACTACGATAAATTCTCCCACTCGTGATCAGCGCGCGAATAATGGCCGCGATACCGCTATAGTCTCTCTCTTTCTCTCTCTCTCTCACATGAGCCGGCGGTGATTTTTTTCGTTATTGCGGTGGGTATCGTCGCGGCTGGGCGCTGTAATTGCCCACATTGTTACACCCGCGACGAGTGTTATTTACAACGGTATCGAGTTGCTAATGCGCAGCGGACATCGTGGCTCGATGTCAAATCGCGAGAACATTCCGCGCGAAAGAAATCGCAAAAGTCCTCTGAAACCTCGCGCGCGCGCGTTTAGCGTCGGGAGGCAATGACACCGGGTGTACACGACGACGTGTTGCCGTAACGGTATTATTTGCCCACTGTCGGCACAACATGCACGACGGCGGCTGAACACCGCGTACCCTTTCGCCGAACACTTTGCAACGTGACTTTTCCAAGTGTCCGCGGAATTTTCGTCAGCGACGATGGCTGAACGACGAGGGTAGCTCGAAAATCGTGTTATTTCGCAGCGTGGAAAGAAAAGCGACGACGAACGCGGAACGAGTCTCTTTCACGGGGAAACTCGGAGGCCATTGCGCGTCCGGTCTGATTAAATTCCGAATGAAAGGACGCGGCTTGTGCTACGACTGCGAGCGAGAGCTCGTTAAGTGTCTCGCCGCACGTCGAAAATGACAAAGCAATTCCCGTCTAATTATACCGGGATAAAGCTCTCTCTCTCTCTCTCTCTCGAGGGGTACATTGTGCTCCGGTGCGCCGTTTGCTTTCGTTCCGCTCCTGAGAGCGGGCCGATTGTTTGCGGTAGCGTTCGATTGGGTCGAATCGCGCGAGGGAAAACAGTCCCCGGCCGGGCGTGCAAGTCCGTCGGCTATCGACCGCAATGTCTCGATTACGGAAAGCGATCCGCTTAAGTCGCGATTACGCAACCGGCCGCTTTCGTAACGCGCGTCTATTCGTTCCGCCGCTCCCGCCGCTTGGATTTTACGAGAACGGACGCGCGCGCGAAAGGGGCGCGATTTTTCTCAGCGGGGATAATACGCATTTCGCGAAATTAACAGCCGCTCGCGTTCGACGGATAAGTTTCAGCATCGAGTCTATAAAGGGCGTGTCTCAATCGAGCGCGCGCTGACGTTATAAAGAGAATATAAAGTGGCGTTTATGGCGATCGTAATAAGAGAACGAAGCGTTATAAAGAGTGTATCGGCGATGCCAGCGCAAAAAGTGCGATCGAATCGGTACGTGAAACACCAACGCGCGGATATGTGCGTCTTTCGAAGAAAGATGAGAGCCTTATATCGGGTAACCGCGGATTAAGTGGCTTAAAGATGAAGGAAATGTGGATGAAAAACCGCAGCTGAAAAAGAGATTAATCCTCGTAACTTCGAGTAGAATTCACCGTTCATTCCGCGCAATTGCTCCGATAGGCTACCGTGTGAAAACTGAGGTAAACTACTGTTCTCGAATACTTCGAAGACCTCGGAATTCAATGTTCGAATTTGGATAATATCAAACTTTGAAACCTTGGAATTGTAAGGTTCTCCAAGCGCAGACAACGTCGTTCGACGTCTCTCTGGCACAAGTTTATTTACAAAATTTCTCAGTGTTTCC